AACCTCAAGAGGTGTGTCATTTTACATCAGTAGGCATCTTGATCTCCCAAAGACCATAATTAGCCACTATCACCGGGCAGCTGAGGCAATGGCAGAATCAACAGCCTCATAATTTGGGGACAGTTTCATCAGCCAGTGCCACAAAGGATGGCAGAGTTCCAGAGAAAGAGTTAGCAGATGCACCATTCTTTCCCTGTTGCTGGAGAACTGTGTCCCCACCTCTCTCTTCCTGTACAGTCTGGAATTCTCTAATATTTTGGCATCATGAATCTTGCCAGGCTTACATCTATTAAGGGTCTTCTGTGATCCACCACAGCCCGTATGACTTATGGTGGTAGAATTCCATGATCTATTGAGAAGAGGCAAAGAATTGAGATGCGAGTTCCATCAATAGCTCCAGCACAGCTTAGGAAACCTCAAGATTATTCGAAGCCTTCCATTATTTCAGAGACATTAGTAACCTCGATTCCATAGGTCAGCAGCACCTGCTTCATTGTCGTGCACTGCTCCAGTAGGGCATCTCCTGCTGCTGTGATCTTTCCCACAACAGAGAGCTCTGTAAGGAGGAACAGTCTGCATTCATGACCACTTTCCAGAGTGTGAGGGCAATGCTCTTGTTCATAAGGACAGCAGATTTTTTTCAGGGTCCTTTTGCACTGAAAGGCAGCTGCCAGCTCTACCCACCAGAAATCAAATGTAGATTTGGGCATCTATATCTGTAGTCACTGTCAGTCCAGACAGCCACAACATTAGCCTACGAATGGTTGGAATGTGGCCTGGTCCACAGTCCACCCTTCTCACGGTTCCATTCAGTAACATACATGGACACAAATCTCTACACCTGTCTTTGCTTTCTTTTTAGTCACCACCTCAAAGTGCACTGGGTGCTCTTTTTTTGCCTTGTCCTGTCCTGCTTCCGGGATATCCAGCACTAACCTTCAGAAAGCCAGAGGATGCAGCAACCTGTAATGCCAGAAAGGATCTCAAGGAAACGAAATAAGCAGGTGTCCGTAGGCTGAGGATATGGGTTTTGTGTAAGAAATCCTTGGCAAAAAGGTGGCATATCTAGAAAATACCCATAGTCCTTTGCAGTAGGTGCTTTTATGGCTCCCTGACCCAGGTTCAGAGCCAGAAGCTGACTCAATACCCTGTCACTCAAATCACCACCAATATAGGTTAATCGGGACCTAAATAGAGGATCAATTGACAAGTGTAGCCGCAGCTGAAGGGCTAATTAGAGGGAAAGCAACCCCAGCTGCTGGGGGCTGATAAATAGAGAGGAAGCAAGCCCTGGGGTGAAGAGCATGAAGGAAGGTGCTAGCACTGTGCTGTGCCTCCCAGGATATGTCATTACTGCAGTTAAAAAACCCATGGCTGGTCTGTGCTAGCTGACTTGGGCGCAATCTAAGGGGCTGTTTAATGGTGGTAGAGACATTTGGGCTCAAGCTGGAGCCCAGGCTCTAGGACTCTACCAGGTGAGAGGGTCCCAGAGCTAGAGCCTGAGCCTGATGTCTCCACTACAGGTAAACAAGCCCTTTAGTCTGAGCCCCATGAGCCAGAGGCATCGGGTGTAGGCCCACTGGGGGTGTCTAATTGTAGTGTAGGCATACCCTCAGAAGTAAGAGGGGGAGCTGGCTGGGACTTGTAAATAGCACTACGTGCCATTATCTGCTAGAATAGTATAATATAGCCTGGTGATGGTGGTGAAGGTAGCCTGGAGTGAGTGTGGTCTGCACCTAAGGTGAGAGACTCACAGAGGACTTTCTTGTGACAGGCACTACGGCGTAGCTGGCTAGATTGTCCCACACTTCACTCCTAAAATCAAGGTCAGCTGAATCGGCTACAAATTGAATGTTGTGGTTATCTCTTCACAGCCATCTTTTCTGCCATTGCAACCACTTAGAGTGCTATGTGTGGATGCAAAACATGGTTGCAATGGCAGAAAAGATGGCTGTGAAGAGATAACGGCAACATTCAATTTGTAGCTGGTTCGGCTGACCATTTCCCTAACCAGTTACACCAAGTCAGGGTTCTGTCAGTAACATGTACAAGGCCTTACATTTCTTAGCCATTTACATCACTAAGAGTTTTGAGCTGTTGCCAGGTGGTCTACATAAAAGTAGACATTTAACAGATTTTAAAATTATTTTAGGGATCAGAAAGTTAGGGAAACTTTTTCTAACATTTAATTGAAAAATATGTTGTCTCATTGGCTATTTTTTCCAATGGTTTGGGTCCACACTTTAAATGAAGGACTTACTGGTATATCTGGAGAACGGGTCCCGGCCCTAATTTATCACAGTTTATGACAAGTGTTCTTTTCCACTGCTGGTGAAAGAAAATAGCCACACTAATTTACTGTTGTTAGAAGAGGTTTAGCAATGCCTGTCATGATGCACTGAGGAATAACAAAGCAAAAAATCACACTTTAGGAAAGAATACAGAAATACTCACAGAACATACACAGGAGCTAGCCCATTCTTTAACCCATTTATTACTGCCAACAGTTCCCTTGTGACAGCAAATTAGTTTATTTGCTCCATATTATTTTGTTAATCTGTATCCACTAAATTTTAATAAAAAGCAAAAATACTTTTAAAAATTCAATAGAGACATTATCCCTTGACAACTCCTATTTGTCCAGTGTTTAACATATACATGGCTGGGTACAACTGTTTCAATTACACACCTAATTACTATCAACTCATGATGAGTAAGAGTGATGTTACTGCTGAAATATGGTAATTTGATCTTGGTACCTATTAACATAATCAAACGTCACAGGTGGATCAGGCCTGTGTTTTTATAATATCTGCCGCCTCTCACTGACAAACTAACCCCGGGCTGGAGATCACTGATGCTAGGAACACTACCCCAAAGTTACACTTGTTCCAGTGTTCCTTGCCCCCTTTCTGCTTATGTAATATGAAGAGAGGAGTAGGATTTATCTATTGAGATGTCCAGGAAACTTTATAACACGTTTTATTTTCATTTTTCTCCCAGAAATGAATCTCTCTTTAGGCACCACTCTACTGCTTTCCCTCTCCGTTTCCTCAAAAAAGAATGCCCAAAGAAGAGTAGAAGCAGGCATAGGCACCCATGGAAAAAAAGTGGGTGCTTGAGCACCCACTGGCAGCCAACTCCCCCGCCCAGTGCCTCTAGCCCGCTGGTAGCCCCGCCAATCAACTCCTCCCCCTCCCTCCCGCCCACCGCAATCAGCTGTTCCACAGCCTGAAGGAGATGCTGGGAGGGAGGGGGCAGAACTGGACAGGAAGAGGCATGACGGGGAGCAGGGGTGGGAAAAGGCAGAGCAGGGGTGGGGGTTTGGGGGAAGGGGTCGGATGGGGCCTGGGGCAGAGCAGGGAAGAATTGAGCACCCCCAGGCCCTGGAGGAAGCAGGCCTGGATTAACCAATGTGCATTCAGTGTACTTGCCCAGGGCCCTATGTCAGGCACCCCCTGTCTCCCCCCAACCTCTGGGGGGGAAAAAACCCTTGTGTAGTGCTGTGTACCTGTGCACCCAGTCGCAACTCAGGTTTGGCCTTATTGAGTGGTGCTGGGACCTGGCCGGTGCTTGGCCCTCCCTCCTCTACCATAACCACTGAACCAGGGCCAACTCCAGGCACCAGCGAAGGAAGCAGGTGCGTGGGGTGGCCAATAGAAAGGGGCAGCACTCCATCCATTACACTGCTCTACAGCCAAAATGCTTCTGAAATAAATGTAGTCAAACTTTACTAATTCTGGGTCACTGAGAACAAAAATGATGCTTAAAATTGTTGATTGGCTCTAGTTTTCAAGATATGCTATTGGGTCAGTATATACGACCCTTGAC